CAGAATCCTCCTTCTTAACCACTGCTTCCCAAGTTTATGAGTGTTACCACACCCAGTTATAATTTCAGCCAAGAATAAAGACTGTGACAGTTTACTCTGTATAACTTTATCTTAGGTAGCTTTGTCTTAGGTAGCTGTGTAGTTCTTAGGTGGGTGTTTTATACTTCATCGTAGCCGGAAGACTGAGAAGCCATCAGTACGTGTTTTAAATATTGAAAAATAGCTTACAGACTTCCATTAGTGGGTTTTAGATGCTGAGGGAACTCATGAGCTGTGTCTGGGAGCCTGGTCCACCCTTGTCGCTTCACCTGCAGAGGGAACGACACCCTTGTTGTTGAGGGACTTACCCAAGACCTCACTGGAGCTTGGACTTCGGTCTCTTGACTCCAAGGTCAGAGTTTTTCCCACGGTATGTTGCCCGTGGAACGCGTGTTCTTTTGCAGACGGCGTTGTAAAGGAAAGGTAGGTGGAGTTGCAGTGAAAATAGAAGGTGCTAAGAACGCCCCCGTCAAGGTCGCTGGTAACCTCTGTGCAGCCACATCCAGGGTCTTCGTCCCGCTTGACCTCTCCGCAGACCTGTCCTTGCTCGGCTGTCAGGACTCCCTCCCTGTTGGCTTTCCTCCTCCTGTCGCCTCTTCTTTCTCAGTCTCCTTTGCTGGCTCCCCGATCTTGGCCTGACCTGGAATGTTGGGGTTCCATGGGGTTCGCCACTACACCCTGTTTTCTCCTCCATGTTCGTCTTCTCTCTCACTGACTCACCATTTTTTGTAGTTAAATCATCTTTACTGTGTGAGTCTTAATACCTCCAGCCCAGCCTTCTCCTCTGAGGTTCAGATTCATGTGTCCAGCTCCTTACTTGACCTTGACGTCTGGATGTCTCAGAGACACTGCAGACTTAACGTGTCGCCTGAAACCTCTTCCATGGGCCCTCTGCACCCACTGATAGCACCCCCGCCACATCCTGGTCTTCGCCTCAGTTATTGCCGCCACCAGCTGGGAGCCATTCATGATGATCCCAGTAAGAGCTGACCTTTATTGAGAGTTCGTGTCTCAGGTGCTTCCTCAAAGGGAACACATGAATTAACTCAGTCTGTTTAGTCCTAACAGCAGTACCTCGAGGTAGGTGATGACAGTAGTAGTAAGAATAGATTATGTAGCTCTAGTATCTACAGGGCACTGTTTTACACATGTTATAATACTAACTCATTGAATTCTAACAAGTCTGTGAGGTGGACGCTATTAACTGTCCCTGATTGGCAGCTAACGTCAGAAGCTGAGGCACAGAGAGATGGTTACTTCCGCAGCACACGCGCTCCCTCGGCGAGGAGGTGGTGGAGCCCGGCGTGCTGTCCCGGAGAGCCCAGGCGGGTACGCTGGGTCCGACTGTGATTGCCCTGCTTCACAGACAGGGCGGTGAGTCCTCCGTCCCCTCCCTCGTCCAGTTCATCACAAATTCTGTGGCAGCTACCTCCAAAGGGCGTCTCCAGGCTGCTCTCTTCTCCGTCTGTCTGGTGAGTGTCCGGTTCAGGCCACCTGGGCTCGCCCTGGATCTCGGCACCAGCCTGCTTGCTCCCTGTCCTTTCTGCTTTCCCTCCGTCCCCTTAGGATCTCTTCCAGAGAGCGGCAGCACTGGTCCAGAAATGAAAACCAGAACATTTCAGTCCACCTCTTACGGCTACTCGGTGGCCTCCTGCCACACTCAGAATTAGCTGTGAGCTCCTCCTGGGGCCTGCAAGGCCCCTCCTCAATCTCATCTGATGCTCTTGCTTCCCACTCTGTGGCCTCCGGTCTCTTTTCATGTCCTTGTGCTAGAGTTGTCCCTGCCTCTCAGCTCTGGTGCAGCCGTCCCCCTGGCTGTGAGGTCCCCACCCAGGCTCCCCCTCTCTCCTTTGGTCTCCATTGCAGGGCCTTCTCAGGGAACCCGCACCATCCCCATAGGATTCCTCCTTTTCCGCACAGCACTTTCCACCAATGGCAATAACTTTATTATTTCTCTCTTCGTTTTTGCTGTCATTCACCCCATTAAAATGTAAGCTCCCTGAGGCCTAGAGCTCAGTATTTGTTGAAAGAAAGAAATATGGGGCGGGCCCGGTGGTGTAGCAGTTAAGTTTGCATGCTCCGCTTCGGGGGTTTGCCAGTTCAGATCCTGGGTGCGGACCTACACACTGATCATCAAGCCACACTGTGGCAGGCGTCCCACATATAAAATAGAGGAAGATGGGCACAGATGTTAGCTCAGGGCCAGTCTTCCTCAAAAAAAAAAAAAAAAGAAAGCGAAAAAGAAATAGAGCTTAAATTTTAGGCTGCATTAGAAACCTAACTTTCCATTTGCAAAATGTGTTCTGAGTCCTGGAAGAGCGAAATCTTACGTAGGCTGGAGCACAGCTCACCGCCAAGTGGTAGAAGGCATGTCCGTTCTGCCCCTTCTGGGACACGGGCTGCAGGAGTCCCAGGACGTTGACAAGTGCAGCTTGTGTTCCTTTGCCCTTAGTCCTGCCCGTCTTCCTCGCACCACAGAGCTTGAACCTTGGGGGACCACTGCTGGCGATGCTGGCGATGCTGGCGTTTTTGTGGAGGGGGAAGAAGCCAGGCAGGGGCGCCCAAGCCGTGGTGAGGAGCTGAGCCTGGGGGTGTGGCCACGGCCCTGCCTGTGAAAGGCCATGGATAAGGTGACCTCTATGGCCCCAGCGTGGCTCTCACCACCTCGCATTCTCCTGGCGCTGACTTACAGATCGAGCACCAAGTCCAGACATCTGGATGGCCACGGTCACAGCTTTCTTTAGCTCTTTCCTGGTGCCCACCTTGTCCCTCCGCAGCTGTGTCACTGTCCCTGGGGATTCTTCTGGACCCACCTTAGATGTACAGCCACTGTAGTGGCAAGTTCTTTTACTCTCTTTAGTAACTGATTCTGTCGGGATGGGGCTCCCAGGAAATGTGCCTCATGAGAACTCCCGGAGTAATCTTTTTAGCTGGAATTTGGGCTAATTTTAGTAAACAGGCAATGGCTGTTAGCAAATTAATTAAGACCTTGTTTGTAGTTCCGTTGTGGAGGACAGTAAATTATCAGCTCATTTCAGACCCTGCGGCTTCCCAAGAGCTGTCATCCTGTGCATGTGTCGCAGGAGGCTGGGCCTGCTAGGCGCCGGGGAGCGTGCCGTCCACACAACGTCCGGGACCGCGGTGCAGTGTCTCTTACTGAGCGGGGGTCACGCCTGCTGTGAGCTCGGAGGCCTTTCTTCTGAAGCAGCACAAACGGCACGTTCTGAGTTGACTGTGGAAGGGTGAACACGACCCTGGTTCACGACGGCGTCCGCTGTTCTCTGGTCCTAAGCTCATCGTTCAGACAGGTAACAGGAGATGAGTAGAGGTGGCCCCACCTTGCGACGCTGGTGCGGGAGGAGCCCCTTCCCACAGCACTCTTCTGGTTAGATTTGGAGTAACTGAGAAGTGGGGTGTAAGCAGCACTTTCTGCACACGTACCGAGGGGTTTCTGTTGTGCAAATAGAGAGGGCCGACATTATTAGAATCTACACATGTGCTGTTCCTGAGTGTCACCTTTGACAGCCCCTCAGTCTGGAGGTCGGGAGGTCAGGAGATGAGATTTCTTCGTAGATTACAGTGTCAGGGAAGGTGCTGTTGGTCGTCTTACGTGGGGTAAGGTCACTTTCATGGACCGGCCTGTGTAGCAGCGATGATGCTGTGAAGTTACTTCGTTTGAATTATTTATTCCGAGTCCTGGTCAAACAGCCTTTAACCACATCGTGTGTGGTTAGTTGGGGAAGTTTGTAGAGGGCCTTGGCCGTGGTGGCAGGAATAGCTCCTCGCTCGTCCTCTGTTTCTTTTCTGGCTGTGGGAGAGCTCGGTGTGGGTCGTGCAGGATCTTGTTTCTTGTGTCACACCAGGCTGGCGACCCTGACTTTGTGCTGGCCTGGGGGGTACCTTTGGCTTTCATGCGAAAGCTGCTGCCCTGCCCCTTGAATATCAGGTCTTGTTCCAGGACACCTTGGTGACTCTACCACAGCTCCCCCTTCTGTTCCTATGGCAGCGGTGGCATTTGTGGCCCTCAGGGCCTTCTGAAGCTTGGCCTGAGGCAGCTCTGGCTTCTTCATTCAGAGACTGTCCTTTCAGCGCCTGTCGCCTAATTCCTGGAACTCCGTCCACTTCCTTTGATCCTGGGGTCCTGGTTTGTGTGGGGCCTTCTTGGCAAGAGCTCTGGGCTCCCTACGCCTCGTGCTAAGTCCGTCATCACAGGCGTGGGGGGACAGAGCTTCACGGGATCTTCAGTCTGGTGCTGGTCAGTCTGTGGACCCCACTGATTCTGCTTTAGAGGAAGGGTTGGGGGAGGGTAGGGGCTGTTTTCACAGCTCCTTGGAGGCTCTTTAAGGAGTCCAGTGTTAGCGTAAGTCCAGGGAGCTGTACTCATGATCCAGCTTCGTAAAGAAGGAACCAAGTCCAGCACCTGGCCTTTTCCTTCTGTTGTTTTGATGTCCATTTGGGAGCGTTCAGAGGGGAACTGTAGGATAAAGTAGTGTTTTTTTGGCCCCTTGCTTTAAATGTAAAATGATCCAGCACTTTCCAAGAGATGTTTTTATTATTAGAACTAAATGATGGTGTTTATGCTCATGTTGATGGAAATTCTTAATTCTAAAGACATGCTTAGCTCTTTCCTAAGATGTTACTTTGACAACAGTTTTTGTCTGTTTTAATTTGAGAAAATTTTTATATCATGGGTTTAGAAGAACAGTTGCTCTGATGGTGGTGAGAGTTTTTTCTTCTCGATCATTTTACCTGTTTTATTACTTTATTTTGGTTCTTTTTTAAGATTTTATTTTTTTCCTTTTTCTCGCCAAAGCCCCCTGGTACATAGTTGTATATTCTTTGTTGTGGGTCCTTCTAGTTGTGGCGTGTGGGACGCTGCCTCAGCGTGGTTTGATGAGCAGTGCCACGTCCGCGCCCAGGATTCGAACCAACGCCACACTGGGCCGCCTGCAGCGGAGCGCGCGAACTTAACCACTCGGCCACGGGGCCAGCCCCTATTTTGGTTCTTAATAGATGCCAGCAAGTATTTATTTGATCCTGTTTTTTTTTCTCCTTTAAACCTCTAATGGAACAAATGCTTCTGGAGGGCCCGCTCTCTCCAGGGCGCCGTGTTGGGACTGGTGAGAGCGTGGTGATACAGACATGAGTCCCGGTCTTACTAGGGAGTCAGGTGGGGGAGGTTCCCCTTATTTACACAGGCTGGAGGAGGGGTCTGAAGACTGGGTGTGATTTTTGATAATGTAGAACAATTAATAATTGTTCGCAATTTAAATCTTGTACATGTTTTGTCCCATCTGGTTGAAGCTTTTTAAAGTTACTGTTAAATTTATGCATGACCTGCTTTCGTATTTATCCATGATTTAGCTCAGGTTTGATGGAAAATGTGTTCTTTTCCCTTCTCTGTTGTTGTCCGATCTTAATGTCATAGGAAGATGATAATACAGTTTGGTGATGATGTGTTTAGAACATCTTTCCTCACCTGAGTAGATGATATCCTCCATGCGTCCGTGAGGAGAGTCTTTAATACGTGGCTTAAACTGCAAACATCAGTTTCAAATGACTTCGTCAGTGTTTAACTTCACATTATATTAGAAAAGAACAGAATCTCCCTCTCCCAGCGCAGTCCTTTGACGTGAGCAAACTGGGGCAGGATCCCTGGCCTGTCTCTTTCCCGCCCCCTCGAGCAGCGTGGGTCCCTGCCCTGTGCTCACTGACGCACAGCAGACCTGTCGCTCTCTTCCGCCAGGTCCCAGGCGCTGCAGACGGCTCTGAACACTTGATGCTGGTTCCGCTTGGAATGTGGCGTGTGAACCGCTCTACCCAGAGAGTCGATCCCAAGACCATAGGGCTGTTATTTCGGGGCAGTGTCTGAATTAGGTGCTGCTTCTCTGACCAGGCTAAATGGGCAGCATTAACCACGGGACGGACAGGAGCTGTGTCACGGTGGCTGTGCGAGTTTGGCTCTCTCAATAACTGGGGAGTTGAAATGGACCATTCAGTATGTGAGAAAAGGGCATATTTTTCTTATATATTCTCTCTTCATTTCCTTGTATTTACCAGCTTGAATGTTTGTTGTTGAGAGGTAGGCCTCGGTGCAAATTTTAATTAGAACTGTAGTACATTAATCGTGTGGTAGCAAGCCCAGTGTAACATGCATGCATTTACAGAAAGGAAACCTTATACGTTATAAAATGAGTAATTGAGGCCTTGCAGTATGGTACTGTGCTTTTATATCACTGTATCTTTTTTTTTTTTGTATCGCTTTTTTATTTTTGATACTTTCCGTGGGTCATTTATTACTTTATCCTCCCTGGTTATTGAAAATCATCTTTTCTTCATTTTTCTTCACCAGGAATCTCTTTGCTTGGCTTTTTGGAATAAGCGGCTGCCTGAATGTAGATTTTATTTTTATTACGAAGGTCAGTTTCTTAGAGAAAGTCTTCAGTGTCGTTAAAAACCGCTTCACGCTGAAGGAGAAAACCCTGGTCAGGAAGAGTCCCTGCACTACTTGATTTCCCCCTTCAACGGCTGCCTCAGTGCCTCTGTATCGAAAACTGTTGGCGTAGTGCCTGCTGGCTGCAGGACGGAGCTGAGAGCCCTGCTGTCCTTCAGGTGGCCGTGGTCGGGTGATTAACTGAAGCCAGGGTTTTGGATTTGAGGCTCCGAGCATCGTCAGGTTTGCAGGCGGCAGTCTTCCGTTCTGGTGGTGTTTGAAAGGCCACCCTTACCGTGCAGCACTCATTTTAACTGGGGAAGTTGGGAAAGAGAAACGCTGTCCTTTGTCGTCTAGGTTAGAAAGTCACGAGTGTGTTCTAGTCACAGTTCTGCACTGCTTAGCCCAGAGGCTGGGATGTAAGGCACACGAGTGTTGTTCAGTGACCGAATAGGACCGCTGTGTGGGTAGACGAAGTCAGTTGGTTTTTCTTTCTGAAATCTTTAAAAAGGAACAGCAGCAGATATCTTGCGTTAAATCTGAGAAGAAACAGCCACTTGGAATCCTTTGTGCTCCCACTTCTTTGGGCAAGTGACCAGGAAGAAAATGGATTATCGCATGGGGCAGGCTGAGCTGCCTTGCCTGGGAATAGTCTGGAAGGATATTCAAAAAGGCAGAAAGAGAAAGAAACAGAATCTCATTAGTTTCTAGTCGTTTTACCTGGTATCTGATAGAGGTGATTCAGACGTTGGACTCCTACGCTGACGTCCCTGCCTTAATTTCCTTCTTGACAGCCTTGCCTGCATAGTGAGGTCTTTTTTCCCATCCTGGATCTTATTCTTCCATCAGCCCAAAGGGGTGACAGGGTCAGGTGGCCACGTTTCACAGGTGGACAGAGGGAGGCAGAGAGATGGTGGGCATGCCTGAGGGCCTTATCTCGTTTGTCAGCTGCTCTGACTGAGAGTCTTGCCTTTCAGGAACGGTGGGAAGGACACATTCTCTGTCTCTTCCATCCATGGCACATTTTGGACCACATTACCCTAGCTCTCAGAAAATCGCTTTTACCAAGCTACCCATTGATGTTCAACTTTTATTCACATTTGTCGTAGGAAATAATTGTGAATCCTGTTGTGCGTTTGTGTGAGGTTGTTGCAGACATTGTTCCCTCCATCAGCTGATGGCCCTCCCATGATGCTTCAGTGTGGACGTTTTTTTTAGAATTCAATGATAGGAACAACGTTGTGTGTCCTGGGTAACTAGACAGTCCCCTCATTTCTGGTCAGAAGATTTACGCAAGCCATCCCCAGGCTCCTGCCCTCGCTGCGGGCTTACTGAAGGCCGGGCTTTCTGTGCCCAGTGTTAACGTTGTCCCTCTCTCCTTTTCCTTAACTGTTTTTCCTTTTAAAACTCTGTTTTACAAGATGATAAATAATCTTATTTTGTATGCACTTAAAAGTGCTTTGAATTCTTTGTGGAGAGAGCCATGTTTTTAACAGACTCATTAAAACAGCAGGACGTATTCATCACTCAGTAAGTACTTGGTTTGAGTCGGTGCCTGCAGGTACTCAGCCTTCTTCCCCTACGAACTCCAGTCGATTCTCCATTCTCGTTTAGCCTGGGCCACGCCGAGTTTCTCCAAATGTGGGTGTAAAATGCTATTTTATTTAAGATCGTAAGATTGTGGTATAAGAACTTGAAGGAGATAGAACTGATCCGTTTCTTCGAAAAGCTAAGCTTTTGGTAAATGGCTGTGAACGCCTGCTGAGAACCTGGGTGACGTGAGTCATCGCCTGAACCCCGGCTGCATGCTCATCATCTCCAGCTGTGATCAGAGCCCTGGATCGAAATGTGGTGTAAGAGGGGAGCTGGGTCGTTAGCCTTGTTCCTGCTATCCAGGGTCTACTCCTTCGTTTGAGCTAATGCTGTTTTCTGGGAAGAAGGTTACTCCACTGATCGCAGAGAATCTCAGTGAAGTATTTCAGCCCTGCGGTTCATTTTCTCGTGTTCCCTTTATACACCTACTCAACAGTGTTAGCAGTTGACTGAATTTTCCCCGACACTTTTCATTACCGTTAGTGTTATTGTCGTGACACCTGTGGGAAGCAGGCACCGGGGTCCTACAGGAACACAGAGGCCTTCCTTGATGAACCCCATTTCATGTCGGCCCCTTCTCAGCTTTGAATTCTTCCATTTCATATACAGATCGTTATAGCGCGTGGAAATCTACAGAGATGTGCGTCTGTAAGTGCCAACATGCAGTGGCAAGACTCTGGTTCTCAGTCAGCTTCTCTGAACTTCATTTTGCTAACTTGTAACTTGGAGCTTCATTTTGCTAACCCACATTTGGTTGTTGTTAAAATAAAAGGAAGTAATAAAAAAAAAACCCTTGAAGCATTATGCCTGTTACATTCAATAATAATGGAAACAGAATAATAAGCGTTTCCTAGCCGTCGGTGATGGTCCACTTATTGGCCCGTCTGTATAACCAAATTCTTGTGTGAACCAGCTCCTTGATGTAGAATGTGACAAGGTTTGCCTTGTGTTTTATGAATCTTATAATTTCCCAGTATTGTCACACAACTGATAATTTGCTTCCAATAATGGCACATGCACTTGGTTCACCTCAGTTCCTGTACATGGGGTTTCCTCTGTCATCTCTCTGCTTTCCCTACGCCATAGCTCTTACTTGAATTTAACTTTGGATCTGTGTGCTGGTTGTGATTTTCTGGTGAGTTACGTACAGAAGTGATAGTGCTCTATTCCTAAACCATGCTCTTTATTCAATGGAAGTGCCAGTACCGTCCGGTCGTCCTTCAGAACTAACTTCAGAACGCATTGGTCTCCGTATCATTGTGAGGTAAACTCCTGCCCTTTGTCCTCTGCCCCTGCGGGCCTCTCCTCACCACACCCAGGGTCACCCTCCTCTCCAGCCAGTCCGAGCCTCTCTCCTCTTGGCTTCTTGTGTCTCCCTCCTCTGCCCGTGGCATCTCCTCCTTTGACCGCCCACCTGGTTTCACTCTTGCACACCCTGGGGATGGTAGGTGGTGGAGTCTCGACTCCTCCTGACCAGATATTCTGGAAAACCTTCCTGCCATAAACCCTTCAGTGGAAATACTGGAGACGACGAAACAAGCGCCCTTTTATAATCTTTACCACAAGAAAGTGAGGAACCCACAGGTGGGGGAAAAGAGAAAGAGGAGTGAGCATTCCTGAGAGAGAGAGAGGATCTAAAACCAGAGTGGGAAGTGACACTGACGGGACCTCTGCTGGTCCCAGGACCTGGATTTCAGGGACCCCGTGTGTTGTCTGAACGTCTTTGAAGGGCAGGGCTGGGCGCGGGGAGAGAACTTCCGTCAGCAGAGGGAGGAGTCTGCTGCTTAGCTTTACAGAAAAGTCTCTTGTGAAACTGTGGGGTTTGGGATTTGAATGTATGCTACCTGTGTGGTCTGAAAACCCCGAGCTGAGCAACTCATCCCAGGGCTGCTGGGTGGGAAGCACCCCAGGGCTCGGCAGAAGTAAACGCAGACCCCCTCTGGAAGAATGCCCCCCTCGACCCACGGATGAAGAGCGCCTTAACAGGAGCCAACAACAAGAACATCACCAGACGCCTAAGGAAGTGAGCCACCACAAGCGAGTCACCCTACAGTGGATTGTGAGGCGGTTTGTTCCATCCATTCCTTAAGTTTTATGGATCACTCATTAGATATGAGGTATGTTCTGTGCTGGGGTTGTATTAGCAGAACATTCGATGGGGAAGTAGGTCTCGGGCTGTCGACCAGAGATTTGGTACATTTCACCAAGAGCCCTGCTCCCCTCGGGGCTCCAGTCACTGCCAGAAAGCCCTGGGGCTTTGCTGGTCCTGATTTGAAAACCACTGACTTATGTCAGTTCCTTTATTTTACAAGTGAGAACAGACTGTGGTGGTGAAGTCACCCGCCCAGTGTGAACCTCGGTGTCCTTGTCTGTAGAATGGGGAAAGGATCCCCCTCGCAGGGGCGCTGTGGCGATGAGAGGGAACCAGCACCTCGTCTGCCACACACGTGTCTGCTCTCCCTTCTCTGTCCCTACTAGTCACAGAGAGGACGGGGCCTTGGTTCTCTTGATTTCCGACTCAATGCTTTTCTCCTGCTGGTCCCACTCGGTGAGCTGGTTGAGTGTTCCAGCCCACGCTGGCTCGCTCTGTGCTCTCTGATTGTTTCATGTCTGTGAGTGTGGCTTCCATACGAGACTGTGAGCTGATTAAGTTCAGGGACCAGATCTTGCATCTTTGTATTAATTCTATATTATCTAGTCTTGGGCTGGTTACTTGGTAGATGTTTTGTAGTATCTGTTTATTGTTTCTTGGTTAAGCATGTAACGTCATTGTAATTAGGAAATGAAAATATTTCTGTCCAAAAACATCGTTATGGTCATTGTGTGCGAGTTTTGGCAAAGTCGGAGAATACCTTTTCTGGCTGTTTATGATGTGGACGTCTGTATTCTGCTCTCTCCACCCGGGATTGACAAGGCGATTCCCGCCGCATCTCGGGCCACAGTTTCCTGTACGGTCCAGGACTGCTCATTGGTCAGAGCCAGGCCTGCTTGTAAGTGCTGCTCTCCACGCTGGGACCCTTCCGTGTGCTGGAGGTTAGTGAAGACCCCTCGACCACTTCTCTGTGCCTCTAGGCACATGTTGAGAATTGGAAATGTGTCCATTTGGCTTGGCCCTGGGCCATGGGTTAGCCCTGGTCGCCGGCCTTCCCGTCCTGCCCTCTGCCCTGGCGCCTGGCCTCGCTGGACAGGCGGACGTGCTCCTGTGCCTGCCCTGTCCGTCTGCTGGCTTGGGGTCAGCACTCCTGCTTTCCATCGGAACCGGGAGGGAATCGCTTGGAAGCTGTCCTCGCACAGAACCCACTGAGGCTGGGCCTCCGCCAGGACTTTCTTCTCTCTGCAGTTGCTGGCTGCTGTTCAGCCATCCGTTTGAGCCCTTTCTATATGAAAACCATGGAAATGCCAGGGGATTATTTTTGCAAGTAAAAAAAGATAGCAGCAGATGTGAAAACAGATTTACTCATCAGGATGTAAATTGGTATTTTGTTTTCCTCTTAGTTTAACAATATATAGGTATTCATGAAAATATTTGGCTACAAGAAATTAAGAAAAATAACAAACTGCCATTATCTGTTACAATCCAGTTCAATTTAGTTTCTTTGGAAAGAACTTCAAGTTGTGAGTTAAAATTTACTGAAATTTATGTTAGTATTAAAATAAGCTTAAGTTTTAAGTAATCTGAAAGACATATTAAAATTCAGATTTACTGTAATCAATTGTACCTGTTTGTACAGATGGAAGCATTTTCTGGAACATGGAATGTGGCAGTGGAACGGACGCACAGCTGTTTTGCCGCATCCTTCACTTTTCTTTGATAGTTATTTCTACGTTTCTCCTTTTTTGTAAAGGAAACTTTATATTTTGTATTTCCTCTGTGGCCATGATCAAGAGGGTAATTTTCCACTTCACCTAAACTTGTTTCCTCTTGTCTGTGTGCTAGACCATAACTGGTTTGCATTTTCTGCACTGCCGCGCATCTGTGAAAAGACCCTCGGTTACTGGTGTCGCTGGTACACTTGAGTGTGGCATCGCCTGAACTCTGCACTAGAGGCATTGGCAGGAGCTTGGGCGATATTTTTAGCTGCTTGGAACTCTGTATTGCAATGGTGTTTATTAGTATTTCAAGACCAATTTTATTATATAATTATATTTGATGTATTTACTGTCCTCCAAGACAACAGCATTTCACATGACCGGGACGTAGCTTTTTATAAGCCTCAAATTTTGAGCTCTTTTAATGGAAAAATTTCCAAAAACCCAATTCCCTTCTTAATCAGAGGGTGGTGAATATGATAGAGCAGATCATTTACCATGCAGGGGCATCTCTTTGCTCTTCTCTGAGGACACACAGTGATGCTTTGGGAAGGCACGGCCTGTTGGACCTCTTCCTGCATGTAATCGTCATTCATTCAGCAGATAGATGGAGTTCCTTCCTAGGTCTGGGGATTCACTGGTGAAGGCATATTTCTTGCTCTCAGAAGGTTCACAGTGTAATGGAAAGAGAGACCAGGACAAAAAGTCTTAGAGAAGGCAGCCGGGGGAGGACAGGTTTGGGATCCAGACAGATCTCAATTCAGATTACAGGGTTAGTGAAGTTGTATGAAACTCTGTCCAACATTTGTGTGACCGGAGTTATGTGTGTGTGAGTGTGTTTGTCTCTGCCTGTGCCAGTGGAAAGACTTCCGTAGTTTACTGGCCCATGGAAGAATACAATTGATAACATCATTGGGAAAGCATCTTTATTCCGACATAGGATCATTTGTTCCCAGGGGAAAGGATTTTTAACACCATGTACTAATAAAAGGACTTCTGTTCAGTTGAACGTACATTTGTTGAATACCTGATGTGTGCACTGCAAGTTGTCCTGACGAACAGGTGTTTCAAGTCCTTTCCCTTAAGTAACTCCCACGCCAGCGGGGAATACAGGGACTCGAATGTCTGTAATATGGTGGAGAATTGAATGAGCAACTTAAGAAAGATAGGAAAGCAGACTGTGCAGAGAAGAGAAGTCCACGCCTGGCAGGGAGAAGCTGACAGGGACGGATCGGGGTGGCTTGGAGGATGCGTCAGGAAAGATGCTCAAGGTGGGGTGAACTTTGTAATCAGCGGGATAAGCTTGGGGCTTGGTGTACAAGCCTCAAGTTTCCTTTGAAAGGAGCATAATTTTTACAGAGGACAAAGACGTGTGGGGCATTCTGGGAAGGGCCCTGAAGGCCAGGCTGAGGGTGTCCTTAGGCAGTGAGTGAGGTCAAGGGACTCTGGAAAATATTATTTCAGGGGTGAACCCAGTGTGGTCACAATCTAGTATTTTCTTCATATGCTATTGCGTTTACTAATGCTCTTTTTAGGATTTTTGTGTCTTGTTTATGAGTGATAGTGCCTTTAATTTTCCATTCTTGTACTCTCCATATCTGGTTTTGGTATCAAGGTATAATAGCCTCACAGAATTAGTCGTGGGTGTTACCACGTTTTTTTTACTCTGGATGAGTTTGTGTAATACTGCAATGGTCTGTTCCTTGAATGTTGGTAGAACTTAGCTGCAAAATATCTGAACTTGATGTTTTCTTTGTGGGAAGATTTTAAAGTACTGAGTCATTTTTTTTTAGTGGTTATGGCACAATTTAGACTTTATCTTTCTTCTTAAGTTAGTTTTGTTAAATTATGTTTCCTAGGAATTTGCCCATTTCATATGTTATCAAGTTTTTTAGCATTAAATTGTTCATGGTATTCTTTTATCTTTTTAATCTTCACAGTATCTATAGTTATACTCTCCCCCCACTCCCCGTTTTTTTGCTGAGGAAGATTGGCCCTGAGCTAGCAGCTGTGCCCATCTTCCTCTATTTTATATGTGGGACGCCCACCACAGCATGGCTCAGTAAGTGGTGCATAGGTCCGTGTCTGGGATCTGAACCCCAGGCCGCTGAAGCAGAACTTGTGAACTTAACCGCTGTGCCACCGGGCCAGCCCCAATGTTTATTTTTTTCTTTTATCTGATGTGTAATTAATTGAGAGAGCTGATTGAAATCTCCCACTTTGATGGTGGATAACTCATTTTTCCCCATCAGGTTTGGTTTTGCTTTGCATATTTCCGGTGGTTTCATTAGGCCTTTATCAGGTTAGAGTTGTGACATGCTGCCGGTGCAGAGGACTGCTTATCGTTATGTGGCTGGCTCCCTTCTTTATTCCGTATTATCTGCTTTTGCCTTAAAATGTATTCTGTCCGTTATTAACATAGTTACCCCAGCTTTCTTTTGGTTTCTGTATGCATGGAATGTCTCTTTTCTCCTTTTATTTTCATTCTTAACGTGATCTTAGGTTTTAGGTATGTGAGAGTAAAGAACAGTTTCTTCTTCTTTAATGTGATCTGATACTCTCTTAATTGGCAAGTGTAGGTCTTTTAGTCACTGATGTGTTGTGATTACTGACAGATCTGTGCTTCTGCCATCTCTTGTATTTCATTCTGCTTTTTGTTTCTTTTTCCCCTTTTCGGGGGACTGATTCGAGTCCCCCCCAACCCCCTTTTCTCTCCTGTGACTTGGAAGTTGTGCACTGTGATCCTGGTCTTTCAGGGACTGCCCTTGCATGTCACCGTGCTTGCCTGAGCTAGTCAAGGGTCAGGTTAATCAGCATTTTGACCTCCCTCCTGAACAATATAAGGGCCTTAGACCACTTCAGCTCTGATCAACCTTCTTTTCACCAAATTGTCTATTTTCTTAGTTTTCTATTTTCGCCTCAAATAGACACAGCTTAGAGGTTAAGCACGTGGACTAGACTCTGGCAGCCTGGTTTGAATCCCAGCTCTGCCACCTACCAGATGAGTAACAGTGGGCAGTGCTTAAACCTCCATGCGCCTCGGTTTCCTCACCTGTAAAGTGTGGACAGTGAAAGGACCTTTCTCATAAAGCTAGAGCTTTTTCTTTTTTAAAGGTATGCTTTATTTTGGTGAGCAAGATTGGCCCTGAGCTAACATGTATTGCCAATCTTCCTCTTTCTTTTTTTATCTCCCCAAAGCCCCGGTACATAGTTGTATGTCCTAGTTGTAAGTTGTTCTAGTTCCTCTATGTGGGATGCCACCACAGCATGGCTTGATGAGCAGTGTGTAGGTCCACGCTCAGGATCC